AGTTAATTAAGTTAACTTAGCTTACAACGAACGCAATAAATTACTGTGTTCTGCGAGAGCCAAAAGCCGGTCCTGAGGGGACCGGGCGGCGCGCAGTTTACTCGCTAAAACCGAGATTTCGTTAATGTCGATGTTCCTTATCGCGGCGTAAACCGTGTTAAAGTCATCGCCAATTGTCGACTGTTTCTGCTGCGGAGCAGAAAATACCTGTGGCGGTGGATCTACCTTTTTGGGGCCCCAGGCAAAAACTGGAGCCTGCATAGGCTTTGAGAAGCCTGGTGGTGGCCTAAGCGGTGCCTGCGGTGGCCTAAGCGGTGCCTGCGGTGGTCTCGGGGGACCCTGAGGGGGTCGTGCAAAGCCCTGAGACGGCTGAGATGCGCCCTGACGGGGCTTCCTAACATATAAGGCCGGGAATGAACGGTCATTTACCGGCGGTGGTGCCTGTCTTGCTATGCGCGGACGAGGAGCGCACGGGCATCCTCTGTAGCTCGCCGGGTGGCCTGTCTGTTGACACAGGACGCACGCGGGCGGGGATACGGCATCTTTAGGCCGAGGACACTCTTTGGTGATGTGTGGATCTAGGCACTTAACGCACCTGGGTGGGGCGGAGCAATTGGCCGCCGCGTGACCATATAGTTGGCAGCGGTGGCACTGCGCCGGGAAACCGCGCCTATGCGGTGACTCAACCCTAACTCCCGACAAGCCGCACACCGTGCGTACTTGCCGGAAGATGGTTTGCGCCTCCGGAACGTTGGTTAAGATAGCTAAGATTATCGGGTATCTCAACCCGGTCCTACTGTGCATTTTATGAACAGCTTCGACGGGGAATCCTTGTGACTTAAGGTCATCAAGAATCTCCTCGTTGGAGAGTTCGAACGGGACGCCTCGGATGACGGCCTTGACTTTACGCTCTTCCGGAAGAGCGTATGTATGGTACGATACTCGTTCGTTAGTAAAAAGCCTAGTGAGTCGGCGAAAATCGTCAATAGATTGGGGAACTATTTTTATCGCTACGCCCATGTTCGTAGCTATGTCATATTTAATTCCGGAGTCGTAGCATACCTTGCTCAGTCTAGTGAACTCGGCCTTGTCTCTCAAAAAGACAGGGGGCGGAACTGGTTTTTTCGCGAGTTGCGGAGCGCAACGTGAAGCCGGCTTCGTCGGCGCTGCAATATCTAAGGGGGTCGAGGCAGCGGCGGGGGCTGCGGAGGTAGACGCGGCAGCGGCGGGGGCTGCGGGGGTGGGGGGAGCGGCACGGGCCGCTTCGGCGAGGGGCGAACGGTTTTTCGCGGCGCGCTTCGCTGCGCGCTTTGACGACACCGTGGTGTAAGACGTGTTAGAGTCACCGGTATCATCGGAGTCAGAGGACTCCGATGTCCTGGTGCTGGACTGTTTGGCAGGCCTCTTCCGGGAGGCAGATGTTGATGACGCGGAATCGGAGTGAGAGCACTCCATGTCGATTTCGAGCGGCGCGAAAGAGTTTCGAGACGCGAGGTAGTCCGCAATAACGGGCGGCGGTGCCTGAACGGCGGGAGGAGCCAGAAGGGCTGAGATGGCTGCTGAAAGAGCTAGCGGGTCATTTTGGAACCTATGGTATGCATCGCGCACGTAACCTTTAAAATTCTGCGAGGACATTTTAACCGATTCTACAACAAAACTAAAAATAAACTAAAAATTAGAACTATCGTATGGCGTGGGGGGATCAGGGATCACCGTTCTGAAAAGAACGGGACGTTCTTATTCTGAAACTCTCCCTCGTCCTCAAAAGGACGGGGGCTAAGTCAAGAAACAATATGACAATATACACGTTATATATACTACACATATAATTATAATAAACTACTAACATATACAGAACTAGTGTACTACAATATAAAAAAGCGTTCAGTCAGACCTCCCCGACCTGAAGGCGGGGGGGTAAGAGCTGAGAGTTAGCGATGAGACACTCACCCGACTTCAGCGCTTATAGCGCCAACACTGAGAGGCGCGCGGGGCGCGAAACTGAGGGGGCGCTAACGGAGCGCACGCGAACTACCTGTACACAACCGCTCGGGGGCGGTGCAACAGGCGGAATGATTTTTTTAAACTTGCGACGTTCCTTTATATAGCCAGCATCGATTCGCCACTAGGTGGGGTGGGGATCGCGAACGCAACACGTTTGCGCGGTCGGTCCGGTCAGACTTTTAGTTAGTTGGAAAATCTCAAGTCAGAGTTGGGAGTTGGGAGTTGGGAGTCGGGAGTCGGGCAGTCGGGCGAGGGCGAAACGAATGTACTTGTAAAGAAGAAAAAAAGAAGAATACTAGGTAGCAGCAATAGGATATAACGCGTTAGAATAGAATAGTATAATATATCGTCGTCGAAGAGGAAGAAAAACGAAAAACTGTAACAAGAAAATTAGGGAGTGTGAAAGTGATAATATTATTTATATACATAATATTATACGTGTTACGTTCGTGTAGGGTCTCGTCGCGTCGCGTCGCGTCACGTCGCGTCGCGTCGCGTCGCGTCGGTCGGTCGGTCGGTCGGTCGGTCGGTCGGTTCGGTTCGATTCGATTCGATTCGATTCGATTCGGTTGTGTTATCTATTTTACCTAGGCACCTATTAAAATTTTTTTAAAAGTGTGAACGTAGTACGTTGAATTCGTTGAGTAGGTGGTGTGTGTATATATATATAGAGGTATTTAGTGTTTCGTAAATTGTTGTAACGCATTTACGACGCATCTACGTTTATTGTTATAATATACGTGTATTTAGCTTATTCGAATTTATATACCTACTTAGTTAAATCGTTATCGTGCGTTCATAAGTTGTGCGTTCGTTATTTCGTTGCAATGTTTACATAATTACATAATATTTTATATTACATTATATAGAACTGCCTGACTGACTGATTTTGATTGAAGTGAGGGACGGTGCGATATATATAATATAGGTAGGTAATATATATAATAAGGCAATCATTATGATTGACGCGTGACGTATAAGAAACTCATAGGAAATTTTTGTTAGCCCTGAAAAGGGCTTTTTAGCATTGCGGTCGCTCGCGCATATTCGTATACGACGCGACACACGTACACTATTTATTTTTATAGGTATTATTTTTAAGAATAAAATAAAAATAAATAGGCCCGATGCCGCGGCGCTACGAGGCACTCGCGTTCACCCGCGAGGATCCTTCTCCTCTCCCGTCCCGTCCGTCCCGTCTTGCTGTCACTCTGCCTGCATGCACTACACAATCACATACGCGCGTGACAATTACGCGTACGAGTACGTACGTAGGTAGGTACGGCGGCGGTGGTGGTTATGACGACGGAAGGCGGTGACAGCGGACCTTACTTTTTAGAAGCGGCTGCCTTCTTCGATGCCGCCGCGGAAGGCTTCGATTTGGGTGTTGCCGCCTTCTTCGGTTTTGGAGCCTTAGGTTTCTTTGTCGGTGGTTTGGCGCTCTTTTTCGCCTTCGAAGCGGCGCCTTTCGCCTTAGAAACGCCGCTTTGGCCAGCGGTTGCGGATTTTCTTGCGGCTGCCGGCTTCTTTTTCGCGGCGGCCGCCTTCTTGTCCTTGGTAGCTGCAGACGGTTTTGCCTTAGACGGTGATGATGCGGTCGCTGCCGATGCTGCCTTTTTACCCTTACCCGCGGCGGTGCTCTTCTTCACCTTCGCCGACACCGAGCTAGCGGCGGACGCGCCGCTCTTTGCGCCACCGCTGCTCTTACCCGTCGACGGTTTCTTAGAGGCGGACGATTTTGATTCAAGCTTAAAGGAACCGGAAGCCCCCTTGCCCTTTGTCTGTATAAGCGCACCCGATTCGACTGCGCTCTTCAGGTACTTTCTGATGAACGGAGCTAGTTTTTCAGCGTCGACTTTATATTGAGCGGCAATATATTTTTTTATCGCTTGCAAAGATGATCCACTGCGCTCTTTCAGCTCTTTAATTGCGCTGGTGACCATTTCGGAAGTCTTCGGATGAGTGGGTTTCGCCTTGGGCTTCTTTGCACCACCTGCTGCAGTAGCGGCGGCCTTCGGTTTTTTCGCCGGAGTCGCCGGAGCGGGAGTTTCGGAAGCTACTGCTGTATCTGCCATTACTTCGTAGTAGTAGTATTAGATCACAAACGAACTACAAACACTGACTCACACAACTCGCGATAGATGATAATAACAAAGGAAAATTGTAAATTGTTGTTATATATCGTACACAAATTGATATTACGTAGGATAATACACAGGTGGCGACACTATCGCCACCTTACCCCCCCAACCAAAGCTTAACCGTAAGGAGAACCGCGGTGCTGCGAGACGTTTTCTCGTACGAACACTTCTAACTTTTCACTAGAACGTCTCGAATAAAATTTAATTTTTACCGTGATATATAAATATTATCGTATTCAGAAAGTTAATACGGTATATATTTGAGATTGTGCACGTAACAGACAAACCCGTTACGTATATAAGCGATCGAGAAACGAGCAATGGATGTTTATTTTGTTCACTATATTCTGAGCGTACCATGAGCCGCCTTTTAAAATGATTTTTCTCTATTTGCTCATTAGTTTAGTTAAATTTAAATCGGTCTATTGAAAGTTAATATCCTGAGGTTAGACAGAAGGCAGAGGTCACGCCGGTAATGCATTATTCGTAATGCAACGACCTATTATACGTCGAAGGTCGTAAAACACGAAGAGGTCTCGAGGCTCACAGACCGAAGTCCCTATACAAAGCGTACGATCTTTGAAAATAGTCTATAATATTTTAAAATTTGTCCACTGTAATCTGAAATAATTATTATAAATCATCATTATTTCTAGAATGTTGCAACACGTTCCCATACTTCTTTAAAATACGTACAAAAGCTGGGCACGCTTCAGAGCAACGTATGTTTATAAAGCGTTAAGTATTTAAAAAAAAAATGAAGTGTGATATTATTAAAATATAGTATATCATATTATTATGTATATATTAAATAATAAGGGAGATAAATAAGAGAGAAAAAAAAAAATACAATTCGGAATTATGATAATATATTCCTAAGACGTTCGAACCATTATTTCAATATGGCGATATTTTACACTTGTTGTTTAATAGGTATCGTCAAATTTAAGAAGAGTATAGTCATTTAATGCCTACATGAATTGACGTTTCTTTCATTCAGATCAGTTTTTCGAAATTATTTCGAATTAAAAAAATAAATAAAAAATAAACCTAATTTTGTTCCGCGTTTAATTGGTATACATAAAAATCTTATGTGATGCCTTTACAGCTTTTAAATAACATAACTTTATAGACAGACACATCTAATTCTAATATGCACTTACATACATGATCATAAACACACATACATTCGCACTTATATACATAATCATGCCATTTATACACATATCCATACAACAAAATACATGCTTGCACATATCATTTCTTTTTTTTTTTTTAAATGACGATACTCTACGAAACAAATACAAGTTATATTGATAGTTTTGCGGCCCTGAAAAGGGCCTTTTTTTTTATTAACTTATACGATTAGGAAAATCGTCTCATCACGTAACTTAACTCTCAGAGTCCCGCATACCAAGTAGCAAATACACACTGCGCACATGGTGTACTATAGACGAACTCAGAGCGGACAGAGAGCCGTAGTACGTGGCGGTGGACGACGTCTTCATCGCGTATAAGAAATTAACCACCGAATCCGTAGAGGGTACGTCCTTGACGTTTCAGGGCGTAGACGACATCCATTGCGGTGACGGTTTTCCTCTTCGCATGCTCGGTGTATGTAACAGCGTCACGAATCACGTTCTCAAGGAACACCTTGAGTACACCGCGTGTCTCTTCGTAAATTAACCCGGAGATACGTTTCACACCGCCCCTGCGTGCGAGACGTCTGATAGCCGGTTTGGTGATACCCTGGATGTTATCACGAAGAACTTTTCTGTGCCGCTTCGCTCCACCTTTCCCCAAACCTTTACCACCTTTACCGCGACCGGTCATTTTCGCTTAGAGAAGAAAGACAACACACGAAATAATATATATACAGACTTAACGTACGTTACGAACGCACGACGACAGATAGACCGCACCTTTCGTTTTTCCCGTTTATATAAAGTCACCCAGACGACTGAGACGGCTGAGGCGAGGGTGCGGGGAAGTATAAAATGGCGGGCAAATAATAAGGCGAAGGCGGGGGGAGGGGAGGGGGGGGGGGGGTGGATGTTTCGTGTTGCTGTAGATGGTACACGGAAAAAAAAAAAAAAATTGTCGAAATATCGTTTAAAATTTGGAAGAGGTAGTTAGTCTCTATATAATAATAAATAAATAAATTTGTCAGTTCGATACGCGCGCCATCTATTGTAAGTTTATTAGTTAGCAATAAGTTGACTAAATTTTAACGCAATCTGATGAACGGTATGGTAGCGCATTATATACGAACAAACAAAAATAAAATTTATATATTAGAATATAGAAAGGTATCTAATTAGTTACTACGTATAAAGTAATACGATTTTGTCCTGCGACAATGGTTAGACTCCATCCAATGAGTCCTGAGGTCAATCCGCATACTATAAAAAAAAAAAAAAAAAAAAAGAGAAATTAGTCAATCCCCCATTAATTTTAATACTCAAAGCCCGCCATGAAATAATGTCGCGGGGTGAACGAGGTGTATATAAAGTACAGATAATATTATTGTCGAAACATGTCGTTTTCTATTTTGTATCACTTCATTTAATATGATTATCCAAAGTAAGATATTATAATTTATATTATTATGAAGACGAAGATTTTTATTTATTTAAAAAAAAAAAAAACTGCATCCTAACTAACAGAAGCGTTCTGCGCGTGAACATTGGTGGTGGTAGTCTTCGCGGGCAGCGGCGGCGCAGGCATCGTCGGCGCCGATCGTCGATGATGGTGATGAATGATCATCCGTCGTGAGACAGGTAAGCTTTACCCTACTGTGTATCTTATGATGTTAAATAGTATACAGTTTGTCGTCTATTATACTAGATTAGTACATCTATCTATTAATTTATTTAAACGGTATCTAAATAAACATTTCGATTTGCTGAGCCTTAATTCGATATTATGTTTTTGTTATCTCATAATATTACCATACCATACCATACCATCTATCTATCTATCTATCTATCTATCTATCTATTACTTGCTCGTTTAACGTTCTCTTATATTCTAAAGAAACGCACAGTTTATTGTGTAGAAACATATGCGGCCCTGAAAAGGGCCTTTTATGAAAGTGAAAGAGAACATACGTTAAAACCAACACAATCATCATCATCTTGTCAACGTGTAGTTGTTGTTGTTAATGAGGCATATTTAATATTGCCACTTTCACACTGCCAATCGATGATTGATGTTAAAAATTAAACGTAGTTCACAACACAATCGGTAGAGTAGAGTTTATTAAGCTCGTTCACCGCGAATTCTGCGCGCCAACTGTATGTCTTTCGGCATAATGGTTACGCGTTTTGCATGAATCGCGCATAAGTTGGTATCTTCGAACAACCCGACTAGGTAAGCTTCGCTAGCCTCTTGAAGGGCCATCACGGCGGAGCTCTGGAAGCGGAGGTCGGTCTTGAAATCCTGAGCGATTTCACGCACCAAACGTTGGAACGGCAATTTGCGGATGAGGAGCTCGGTGCTCTTCTGGTAGCGACGAATCTCACGGAGAGCGACGGTACCGGGCCTGTAGCGATGTGGTTTCTTAACACCGCCGGTTGCTGGTGCGCTCTTACGGGCTGCTTTGGTGGCCAGTTGTTTACGCGGCGCTTTACCACCGGTGGATTTCCGAGCGGTCTGCTTAGTACGTGCCATTGTTACGTTACACTAACTCAACTAATACACAATATATTCACTATACGACTATACGTTCTCAACGCGCGGGATACTGAAATCGTCGTTTTTTTTTTTTTTTTTTTTTTTTGCGCCCGAAGCAATTGGAAAAGGGCTACCCCGAAGGGAGGCAGAAAATGCATTACGCATACCACGATGGCCGGTCCATCGTGGTTATGAGGGACTCACTACCTACAAGGGGGAACCTAAGTGATACCCTCTAAAAACTGCCTTTGGGGACTGGCAACCAGCTGTTGAAAGCTTCACATGCCGTATCGTAAAGCGACCCTCTTTTGGGAAAAGAGGGCGCAGGCGGCTATAAGCCGCTGAGGGAGTGCCTGGGAAGGCAAATTAATTATGAATAACTTAATTAGAGTTGGCCTGAGCCGCCAGGAGGCAGTTCAGGTCGTTTGAAAGTTTATTAGGCGGGTCCGAGAGGGAGTTCCTCGGCCTGCGGACGCTATAGCGGGAGGGGAGTGGGGCTGCATAATTAGCAGCCTCACGAATAAAATGATTGGAATGCGACTCTGAGGCTTTGAAGAAGTTCTCAGAGAGTTTTTTAAGGAATTGTTGAATTGTAGGGAGCTCTAGGTCCCGATGAAGGTCGGCATTGCGGACGTACCAAGGTGCGTTCGCAGCTCGACGACAGAAAAGGTTTTGAACTACTTGGAGTTCATTAATAATTTTAGGGTTAGAGTGGGCGAAAATGGGGCCCGCGTAGGACATGACTGGTCGTATACAGACCTTATAAAGGGTACGCTTGTTTCTGAGGGACATTTTACTGTGTCGGCCCAACATACTGTTGAGCCTATTCAGGTAAAAACGTGCGTGACGGGTTACTCTTTTGACGTGGGGCCTGAAAGTTAGCCCTGTGTCTAGAGTGACACCTAAATATTTGGCAGACGTATGCCAGGGGACAGGGGTCCCTAGCATACGTATTGGTGGAGTGTTTTTGAGACGGCGTCGTTTATAATCGAAGTGAACGGCGGAGCTCTTCTCCGGGTTCACATCGATGCGCCATTTTTTGAACCAAGCTCCTAGGTCATCAACTGACTTTTGGACCTTGTTCCGTATGAAAGGTAGCGAGATACCTTTGCAGTAGAGAGCAGTGTCGTCTGCGAAGAGGGAGAGCTGAACACCTTTCGGCGGAATGGGAATGTCGTTGGTGAACAGTATGTACAGCAGAGTGAGGGACACCAGCTTTGATGGGGCGCTGTGAAGATAGCGTGCCTTCGTGTCTAAAACGAAAGGTACGATGATTAAGATAAGAGGCCACGAGACGTACTAGACGATCGGGGAGACCTATTTTGTATAGTTTGTAGATAAGGCCTGTATGCCAGACTCTATCGAAGGCTTTGGCGATGTCGAAAAAGACCGCGATAGTCTTATGACGACGGGGATAAAAACCGCTGAGGATATATTCCACAATACGGTGAACTTGTTGGGGGCAGGAGTGTTTCGCTCGGAAACCGAATTGATGGGGAATGATAAGAGGGTCACCGTCTGTGGGAAACAGATGGCGCCTCATGCGATTTTGAATGACTCTTTCAAAGAGCTTGCCCATGGCCTTGAGGAGGCTAATGGGACGATGACTGGAGGGGAGATTAAGAGGCTTGCCTGGCTTGGGAATACCAATCACAGTTGCCTCTTTCCACGTAGTGGGAAAGTAACTAAGGTTGAAGCAGGCATTGAAGATAATAGATAAAAGGGTTAGCACCTGCTCAGGAAAGTTTTTTAGGGCTTGGTTGGAGATGCCATCCGCGCCCGGAGCCTTTTTAGGCTTAAGTCCTTTGATGAGGGATGAAAGCTCATCATTGGACACAGAGATAGGTTCGGAGGCTGTAGGGGGCGAGTTCCGGCGGCGGACCTCATCCTCCACTGCCTGGACGTGTGAGGGGTCTACGGGTTGAGAGCTAGGAGAGCATTGAGCGGCAATGCTGTCTGCAAAGCACTCAGCCTTTTCCTCGTCCTCGAAGGCTACCGTACCGTCGGGACGGGAGAGAGGGGGAGTGTGGAAGATAGCGTCTATGCGGAGGGCTCTTGCCATCTGATAGTACGCTGTATGAGAGGGAGAGATATTCTCCATGAGCTTACTCTTTTTGAGGTCTCGAAATTCAGAGAGGCGGAAACGGAGTTCTCGTTGAAGACGATTGGCCGTGCGCCTATATTCGGGCGTGGGATATTTTGCTGCTCTCCGGAAAGCAGCTTTTTTGGCTTTTAATAGGTTGCTAATATGCAGGGGAAGCCCACTATTATTAGCAACCGGGACGACCCTTTCATTCTCCTTAAGGGAGGTTTTAATAAGGGTGGAGAGTGAATCGACCGCGGTGTCGATTTTTTCAGGACTGTCTAAGTCCGAAGATAGGGAGATGGGGGAGTCCTGTGAGTCCAGAGCTTTCGCTAGGGACTCCTTGAAGCCCTTCCAATTTGTGAAGGTTTTAGTAGAGGGTGTTGGGAGTGGTGGCTGATGGCCAAGAATGAGAGAGACCGGTCGGTGGTCGGATCCCAGATCGTCTAGTGTCTCGATTGCCCTAAGGTTGAGAGAAACTCCTTTGAGTAATGCAAAATCTAGTACATCGGGGGCATAGTCGGTGTTATCGGGAAAGTGAGTAACACCGAGAGGACTGTGGACGGTAATATCAAGAGACTGCGTGATATCGAGCAGTAACTTGCCACTACGGGTGGTAGTACGGCATGTCCATTCAGTATGCTTGGAGTTAAAATCTCCAAACATAATGACTGAATTGCCTAGAGATAAAATAGCCTCAAAATCTTTTTTGAGGGGAAGGGTTTTAGAAGGGATGTAACAGGAGGCTATGAAGATGGACTGATGTCCAGTCATAGCTAGCCTGCATACCGTGGCTTCCATGTTGGAAAGTTGCGGAGTAGAAATGGGAGAACAGTGGAGTGTCTTCTTGTAATAAATGGCCGTACCGCCGCCTCGGCGGTCGGGTCTATCATTACGAAGAAGAGAGAAGTTTTTGATGGAAAGGCCTTTAGTGTCCTTAGTATTGAGATTAGTTTCCTGTAGGAGGAGGAAATCGGTTTCACGATTTTGAAGAAAGAGCTTAAGCTCTGGGAGGTTATTTCGCAAACCGCGAATGTTAAAGGATACAAGCGATAAACCCTTAGGTTTGATACGACCGTGGGATTTTGGTAGAGCAAACTGCTCTGTCATTGTGAGTTAAGTTAATTAAGTTAACTTAACTTACAATGAGCACAAAAGATTATGATGCTCTACAAGAGCGAGGAGACGATCCTGAGGGGACCTCGCAGCGCGCAATTTGCGTGCTAACACAGCGATTTCCTCAACGTTGATGTTCCTAATTGCGGAATACACCGTTTTTAGGTCATCAGCCATTGAGGGCTGTGATTGTTGTGGTTGAGGGGCGGAGGATGTCCGCGGTGGTACTGCCTTTTTGGGGCCCCAGGGAAAAACTGGGGGCTGCATAGGCTGAGAGAAGCCCGGAGGGGGCCGAATAGTGCCCTGAGGGGGCCTAGGAGGACCCTGAGAGGGTCGAGAGAAGCCCTGGGTGGGCTGAGAAAGGCCCTGACGGGGCATCCGTTGGTAAAGAGCCGGGAATGAGCGGTCATTGACCGGCGGTGGAGCTTGCCTACTGGGGCGAGGATGAGGTGCGCAAGGGCAGCCTCTGTAGTTAGCCGGGTGGCCCGTTTGTTTACACAGGACACACGCGGGTGGGGATTCGGCGTCTTTGGGCCGAGGACACTCTTTAGTGTTGTGGGGTTCAAGGCACTTAACGCACCTGGGTGGGGCGGAGCAGTTGGCCGCCGCATGACCATACAGCTGGCAGCGGTGGCACTGCGCCGGGAACCCGCGCCTATGTGGAGGCTCAACCCTCACTCTCGACAGGCCGCACACTGTGCGTACCTGCCGGAAGATGGCTTTCGCCTCCGGCACGTTGGTTAAAATTACTAGGGCAAGAGAGAACCTCTGGCCTGTTCTACTGTGCATTTTGTGCACGGCTTCTACGGGGAAACCTTGGGACTTAAGGTCCTCAAGGATTTCTTCGTTTGAAAATTCGAAGGGGACGCCGCGGATGACGGCCCTGACTTTGCGCTCTTCCGGAAGAGCGTATGTATGATAAGAAACTCGTTCGGCTGTGAATAGCCTGGTGAGTCGCCGGAAGTCGTCGATTGATTGGGGGATGATCTTAATAGCCTCCCCGAGGTTGATGGCGTGGTCATATTTTATGCCTGCGTTGTAGCAGGTTTTGGAGAGTTCTGTGAATTTAGCCTTGTCTCTTAGGAAGACAGGGGGCGGGACTTGCTTCTTGGCAAGGACTGGAGCACAGCGAGAGGCTGGCTTGGTCGGAGCGGGAATGTCTAGTGACATAAGTGGGGCTGAGGCAGCGGCGGGGGCTGCGGGGGCAGAGGCGGCAGCGGGAGCTGCGGAGGTTGAAGGAGCGGCAGGGGCCGCTGAGACAGGGAGGGTGCGGTTTTTAGCGGCGCGTTTACCGTTGCGCTTGGAGTTCACCGTGGTGAACGAAGAATCCCCGGTTCCGTCGGAGTCACAGGACTCCGATGAGCCGGTGCCAGAATTGGTGGCGGGCCTCTTCCGGGAGGCCGATGCAGAGGACTCGGAGCATGCGTACTCCATTTCTAATGGGGCGAAAGAGTTCTTTGTCTCTAGGTAGGCCGCAAGTACGGGCGGCGGTTGGAGTGCCTGACGGGCAGGGGGAGTAACATGGGCGGCGATGGCGGCAAGGGCCGTCTCATCGAGGTTTAGGCCCAGACCAAGAGTTTGGTTTAGGGCGGCAACGAGGGACTTAATTTGGGTAATTGTGGACATGTTGAGGGCAGTAGTTTTACGAAACGTATTTGATACGGAAGGGGCTAGTGGGTGCTGTTCTGAAAAGAACAGAGACGTTATGTACCTAAACAGTAAGGGCGGGATCACCGTTCTGAGAAGAACGGGACGTTCTTAATTCTAGGAGTAAGTGCCCCTGCTCTCAAAAGAGCAGGGCCTTGCTCTGAAAAGAGCAAGTAACTCCCTAGAAACAGTATATACACGTACACGTTATACAAATAAATAACGAAAACAAAATTAGAAATAGTTAACAAAAGAATTAACAATAAAAATAACAATAACAAGCAAGACCAACAGTCAAACCGCCCCGCCCGGAGACAGGGAGGTAATAACTGGAGTTAGCGTAAAATGACTCACCAAGGCGTCGACGCTGTAAGCGCGAGCAGGACAGCGGAGGCGCGAGAGCGAGAGAGCACTACCGTACGGGGACGGATGCGCGGACTACCTGGACACGACCGCTCGAGAGCGGTGCCACAGGCGGAATGTGAGACCAAATCATATATAATGTCGATAAAACGATTAACCGCCAGTGTTGGCGGCTCGCCTGGAGTCCCAGAACTCCTTCGCAATGCTGGATGCTGAGATGGAATGCTTACATTCCGACTCAGCATCTACAACTTCATCGTCTGCCTCCCGGAAGAGGTCCGCGAATTCATCTAGAAACAGCACCAGGACATCGGAGACATCGGACTCCGATGACACCAGTGCCGACTCGGCGAGTTCATTATGGACATCGCTTTACTGGATATACCAGTATCGGGATGCACCTGCTTGAGCACCTTGTAGATGTAGATGGCGTAACTCTCCTTCCTCTTGTGCTTCTTCTTCTTCTTATCCGACTTGGAGATGTTTTTCTGTGCCTTACCAGACTTCTTGGCGGCTTTACCACTAGTTTTCGGCGGCATCTTGAAGAATATTTAATGTAAATGTGATCACGGATAATACTAAATTATCACTGAACATTTTTTTTTTCTTATATAACGACTATCACGGTGACTCTACTAGCTAGTGGTCTAACGAGCGTATCGAGTGTAGATCAACCAATCAACGACCAGTTTGCCCGGACAAATGGAAGGGGCAGGGTAGAGAGTAGGGGAATACGGACGGAAGATTAGTTTAGAAAGAACGCAATTTTTATTTTATTAAACATTCCAATATAAGTAATATATAATTATACTAATACCCAATTATTTTAATTAATTTAATAAAATAAATCATTATCGAATATTTTATAATAATAAAATTAACTACTGATAATGTTTTAATAATGCATTTAAATTTATAATTAACATAATACATTGAGTCCATTTATCGCGGCGAGGCAATCCTCTAATCCATCTAAAGCCAACGGCAACGGTGAAGTTCATAAGAGATTTTTACTACATAATATGTTGAACGGTAAGTATTAATATATGTTTCTCTTCAAAAAAAAAAAAAAAAAATATTTTTTTTACCTTTTAGTCTATTGATTATTATTAATTCATAATAAATATGGCTCTAGTCTTATCGTTACCATTACCAATATAAAGTAATAGCGTACAAAAAGGAATAAGGTATAGGATAGGATAGGAGGAACTGAGGAAAGAGGCTTTAAAGAACGTTCGCATTCTAAGAGACTAAATTTATAAATTATCGATAGTATTTGTGGCCCTCAAAAGGGCCTTTTAATCACGTACCACCACGAACGGTAGATAGCAATAGAGCAGTAGAGACACGCGAGTCGACGGACGGCGAATGCACCATTATTATACTAAGGAGCGTAAAACAGAATATGCAATACGTATATAGTACAATTAGGGCATTACCGATCGATAAAACGTCGACGCATACTCTCGTCTAATGTTCTCAACCATTTTCTTGGGCCTAGTGGTGTGGTGTAGTAATGCGACGGGAGTAGTGTACACACTCGTTTAGGCCTTCTTCTCGGTCTTCTTGGGAAGAAGGACCGCCTGAATGTTGGGTAGTACACCGCCCTGGGCGATCGTCACACCGGAGAGGAGCTTGTTCAACTCTTCATCGTTGCGGATGGCAAGCTGAAGATGTCTCGGTATGATTCTGGTCTTCTTATTGTCCCGAGCAGCGTTACCGGCCAACTCTAGAACTTCAGCGGCGAGGTACTCCATGACTGCGGCCAGGTACACCGGAGCGCCGGCACCCACACGCTCTGCATAATTTCCCTTTCGCAGCAGCCTGTGAATACGTCCAACGGGGAATTGTAGACCGGCACGATTCGAACGGGACTTTGCCTTTCCCTTCACTTTACCGCCTTTACCACGTCCAGACATTGTCGTTAATACGTAATAATAAAATTCTATAAATGTAGAAAATTAAACACTCGTCTCTATATAGACGACGTCAACACCGATATAAACTAATTTTTTTAAACTTGCGACGTTCCTTTATATAGCCAGCATCGATTCGCCACTAGGTGGGGTGGGGATCGCGAACGCAACACGTTTGCGCGGTCGGTCCGGTCAGACTTTTAGTTAGTTGGAAAATCTCAAGTCAGAGTTGGGAGTTGGGAGTCGGGAGTCGGGCAGTCGGGCGAGGGCGAAACGAATGTACTTGTAAAGAAGAAAAAAAGAAGAATACTAGGTAGCAGCAATAGGATATAACGCGTTAGAATAGAATAGTATAATATATCGTCGTCGAAGAGGAAGAAAAACGAAAAACTGTAACAAGAAAATTAGGGAGTGTGAAAGTGATAATATTATTTATATACATAATATTATACGTGTTACGTTCGTGTAGGGTCTCGTCGCGTCGCGTCGCGTCACGTCGCGTCGCGTCGCGTCGCGTCGCGTCGGTCGGTCGGTCGGTCGGTTCGGTTCGATTCGATTCGATTCGATTCGGTTGTGTTATCTATTTTACCTAGGCACCTATTAAAATTTTTTTAAAAGTGTGAACGTAGTACGTTGAATTCGTTGAGTAGGTGGTGTGTGTATATATATATAGAGGTATTTAGTGTTTCGTAAATTGTTGTAACGCATTTACGACGCATCTACGTTTATTGTTATAATATACGTGTATTTAGCTTATTCGAATTTATATACCTACTTAGTTAAATCGTTATCGTGCGTTCATAAGTTGTGCGTTCGTTATTTCGTTGCAATGTTTACATAATTACATAATATTTTATATTACATTATATAGAACTGCCTGACTGACTGATTTTGATTGAAGTGAGGGACGGTGCGATATATATAATATAGGTAGGTAATATATATAATAAGGCAATCATTATGATTGACGCGTGACGTATAAGAAACTCATAGGAAATTTTTGTTAGCCCTGAAAAGGGCTTTTTAGCATTGCGGTCGCTCGCGCATATTCGTATACGACGCGACACACGTACACTATTTATTTTTATAGGTATTATTTTTAAGAATAAAATAAAAATAAATAGGCCCGATGCCGCGGCGCTACGAGGCACTCGCGTTCACCCGCGAGGATCCTTCTCCTCTCCCGTCCCGTCCGTCCCGTCTTGCTGTCACTCTGCCTGCATGCACTACACAATCACATACGCGCGTGACAATTACGCGTACGAGTACGTACGTAGGTAGGTACGGCGGCGGTGGTGGTTATGACGACGGAAGGCGGTGACAGCGGACCTTACTTTTTAGAAGCGGCTGCCTTCTTCGATGCCGCCGCGGAAGGCTTCGATTTGGGTGTTGCCGCCTTCTTCGGTTTTGGAGCCTTAGGTTTCTTTGTCGGTGGTTTGGCGCTCTTTTTCGCCTTCGAAGCGGCGCCTTTCGCCTTAGAAACGCCGCTTTGGCCAGCGGTTGCGGATTTTCTTGCGGCTGCCGGCTTCTTTTTCGCGGCGGCCGCCTTCTTGTCCTTGGTAGCTGCAGACGGTTTTGTCTTAGACGGTGATGATGCGGTCGCTGCCGATGCTGCCTTTTTACCCTTACCCGCGGCGGTGCTCTTCTTCACCTTCGCCGACACCGAGCTAGCGGCGGACGCGCCGCTCTTTGCGCCACCGCTGCTCTTACCCGTCGACGGTTTCTTAGAGGCGGACGATTTTGATTCAAGCTTAAAGGAACCGGAAGCCCCCTTGCCCTTTGTCTGTATAAGCGCACCCGATTCGACTGCGCTCTTCAGGTACTTTCTGATGAACGGAGCTAGTTTTTCAGCGTCGACTTTATATTGAGCGGCAATATATTTTTTTATCGCTTGCAAAGATGATCCACTGCGCTCTTTCAGCTCTTTAATTGCGCTGGTGACCATTTCGGAAGTCTTCGGATGAGTGGGTTTCGCCTTGGGCTTCTTTGCACCACCTGCTGCAGTAGCGGCGGCCTTCGGTTTTTTCGCCGGAGTCGCCGGAGCGGGAGTTTCGGAAGCTACTGCTGTATCTGCCATTACTTCGTAGTAGTAGTATTAGATCACAAACGAACTACAAACACTGACTCACACAACTCGCGATAGATGATAATAACAAAGGAAAATTGTAAATTGTTGTTATATATCGTACACAAATTGATATTACGTAGGATAATACACAGGTGGCGACAGTGGTGGTTCATCTCCTTATGGAGGTTTTCATGTGTCGAGGAGACCCTCTTTACATGGGCGGCATCTCAGGAGGACACGACCCCCCGGTCTTGGGTGCTGCGTTGGCAGCTTATATGTAGGTGTATTGCGCACATCGCGCCATCACGTCGAGTGTCGGGACGCTCACTCACCCCCGGCGTCCCCTGTGCCGGGCAGTGAGCGTAGAAGTTCACGTGGGAGTGGTCGCCCGTCAGGTGGGCGGGCGTGGAGGGGAGCAAGATTTTGAAGGTGAAGGTGTGGCCCGTTGTCTGCGCGGTCGAACAACCGTCTCGCAGAACGGACCACAAAATCGTGGATGGTTTCGACCTTGAGGTCGCGAGAAATGATGTCATTCCTGACGTAGCGACCGGCTCCCACGATCACCCGAAGCGCAAGATTTTGCTGGGCCTGCAACCTCTTGCGCTGAGTGGCCGAGGTCAACGCGTACCAGGCTGGTGCTGCGTAGGTCAGCCGCGAGCGGATGTAGGTTTTGTAGATACCTATTTTCGTTCTTGTTGGGAGTTTGGATGCCAGTATAGGGTATAGTTTCGCTCGCGCCGCTCTGGCCTGTCTCACAACGTGATTGACCATCGGGGTCATGCGCAGCGAGCGATCTATCTGGCATCCTAGGTACGTAATGGTACTACTCCAACCCACATCCTGCCCGCGGAGTTGCAGAGTTGGTGGTGTTCTGGCCAGCCTGGTCATGAAGGCGACGGTCTTCCCGACATTGACCGCCAGCCTCCATTTGTCCAGCCACTCAGGCAAGAGGTCGAGTACCCGCTGCAATTTCTTAGCAGCTATGTCCACCCGACGTGATGACGCGAAGTACGCACTGTCGTCGGCGTACAAGGCTAGGACAACGTCATCCTCCCATTCCTCCAGATGGCCTTGGAGGGTGGGGATGTCGTTGGTGTAGACCGCGTACAGGTGCGGTGATAGGCAGCTGCCCTGTGGCACTCCCGCAGAAATCGGTCGTGCCGCCGAAACAGCCCCTTCCAAGGAGACATGGAAGCTCCGCCCCTCCAGGAATGACGCTATTAACCGCACAAGCATGGGCGGTAAAGTGGTGTGCTGAATGAGTTTATAAACTAGCCCTGCGTGCCACACCCTGTCGAAGGCCTTCTCCATGTCGAGAAGGACCCCCACACAGATGCGGCCGAAGTTATATTCGGCCGCAAGATAGTGCAGCACGCGGGCCAGCTGAGAGGTTGTGGAATGTCCCCTGCGGAAGCCAAATTGCTCCTCACGCAGGGTAACATGTGGGAGAACCCTGTGCAGGGTGATTTTTTCAAAAAGTTTTGCTATGTGCGGCAATAGCGTTATGGGGCGGTAGCTGGCCGGGAACCTCCTGTCTTTTCCCGGCTTCGGCAGCACGATGATTCTGCCCTGCTTCCAGATGGTCGGGAAGTGGCCAGTCCGTAAGATGCCATTGTACAGACTGGTGAGTGTCACTATTACCCTTCTGGGCAGCTGCTTTATGGCTGTGGTGGTGATGCCGTCGTAACCCGGCGCTTTACGGCTAGGTAGGCGCATAATAGTGCGCCTTACCTCTGCTGGAGATATGAAATCGCCGCCTCGCAATGGCGGCGCCGGGTTAGAGAGGTATTCCCGTACGCGGTCCTCTATGCCTTGTACGTGGTCTGCGTACCCCTCTGCTATGCTGTTGGGTATGAACTGTTGTTCTAGGTGCTGTGCCATCAAGTCCGCTCTAGGTTGGGCGTCGTAAATCCTACTCCCCGTGCTGTCCACCAGTGGGCAGACAGGTGGTGGTGTCTTGGAGAGCTGCCGGTTGAGGAGATGCAGGGAGGCGGGTGTCTCCGAGGCTTCGTCGACTCGCCTCTCCCATGCTTCTCCCCTGTAAGCTCTCATTGCTTCCGACAGCTCTTCCGTCATAGCGTTTAGTTTAGTTTTTATCCGTGGGCATCGTGTCCGTGCCCAGAGTCTCCTCATCTTCCGCTTCTCGGACAGGAGCGTTTGGAGATTGCGTGGGAGTCCCTCCTTCCCGCGCCCCGTGGAGACAGGGTGAGAGTGGAGTTGGAGTTTATCTTTTATAGTGTTGTGAAGATGTAGGGCCGCAGTCTCCACATCTTCACTGGTGGTAATTGGGGCGCAAGGTTGGAAGTCCTCCAGCGCACTACGAAAGCGGGTCCAATTTGTCTTCATTCGGAGACTTCTGGGCACCATGGCATCCGCACTGGTGTCGATAGTAATCAGCACGGGGAGGTGTTGTGTATCTATGTCATACAATACTTCTAACCGTGTTGTATACGGCACTAGATGACACAGCACAATGTCAAGAACATCGGGCTTATGTTCTGGCTTTGTCGGGATATGGGTGGGCTCATCAGGGCCCAGCACCTCGTACCCCCACTCCTCGGCGTCGTCGAACAGTTTCCTGCCGGGTGGTGTGATCAGCGCGGAGCCCCAAGCGGGATGTTTCGCGTTGAGGTCTCCGGCGATAATTGCAGGTGTCGTGGAGTCAAATATGGTACGTATGTCTTGGGGGGCAAGTGAGGTGCCGGGAGGTCTGTAGGCAGCAAAGATTCTAATTTCTCTGGTGCCTACCCTCAGCCTTACACCCTTGGTTCTGGTGGATATAAACTGTGTATTGGTGCCAACTTCTTCGTGCATGACGTCCCTCCTCACAAGGACCGCAGTACCTCTGTACGCGATACCTTCTGAGGAGATCTCGTCATGTCGATACACAAAGAAGTTGGGGAGTTTTAATTGAGCAGAGGGGCGCAGTTTGGTCTCCCCCAGTAGCACAATTTGGATATTGTGCTGCTGGACCAGGGTTCTCAGGTCGGCGACCTTCCCTAAGATGCCGCCGGGGTTCCAATAACACATCCTAAGTGGATGGCCTGCTGACGGAGGTTAACTGGGCTAAGGCCGTTAGGATGGCCGAAAGGGGGTTGGTGCCGGTGGTCATGGCAGTCAGGACCTCTCCTAAGATCCTGATTACCACGCCCACCAGTTGAGCGAGGGCCTCCTCGATGGTGGTTGGTGCCTGGGGCTGTAATGGGGGAGCGACAGTTATTGTCTTTTTGGGTGGGCGTTGATCTCGGGGTTGGAGTGCAGATTGCTCGTTCTGATTTGATGGAGGGAATGTATACCGCGGTTGTGGCAGTGATTGCTGTTGTTGTGTGGTAGTGGCGAGTGGAGGAAGAGGAGTCGAAGTACCACCTACTTGAGCTGGTTGGGTGGTTGCCTTCTTCTTCTTCTTCTTCTTTCCTCTCTTTTTCTTTGGGCGCTCTGTGCGCTCCGTGGCGTTATTCGCCGGTGGTGCTAAAGTCGCCCCGGTCGTAACAAATGTGGTTGGTGCAGGTGTGATTATTACCTGCCGCTGTTGCGGTTGCGGTTCCTGCCTTTGCAGGTGTTGCTGCTGTGAATATTGCTGCTGTTGGGGTGGGTAGTACTGAGGTTTTTGAGGTGGTGGAGGTTGCCAATGCGGTGCAGGTGGTTGGCTTTGTAGTGGGGGTGGTTGACGTTACGGTGCTCGTGTTGTTTGCGCGGGGATAGGGGGTTGCATATTAATCCCCCTCTTCCTTGCAATTCGCTGCAACACTGGGCACCGCCTGTCATTCGCCGAGTGATCTTTCCCGCAGTTTGCGCATTTAGGTTGCGCATCCCGCGGTTGTGGGCATGCTGAGGCCAGGTGGTCACCTGCACAGCGTACACATTTGAAGGGTCGGTAGCAGTTGTAGGATGCGTGTCCGAACCCTTGACACCTGTGACACTGCGCAGGGCCAATTCTGCCTGTCCAGCCTTCGATTGTTACTCCCGGCATGTAAAGGAGCTCATCAATTTGGTATAATCTGTTGAGCTCTTCGGGGCTTAGGTGACTCATTTTCACGTGAAACAGGCAGCCAGGCCTGCCTCTTTTTGGTGGAATTGACCGTACAAATGTAACTGGAAAGCCCTTCTCTATGAGGGCCTCCTGTATGTCTTTAGGGTCGGTATCTGCAGGGAGCCCTCTTAACCCCACCTTCGTGGGTTGCTCCTCCTGTGGGGCGTAGCAATACCACACGAAGGTGGCATCCTCCTTGCTCTTATCGATGAGGTAGCGCTGGACCTTCCGATACTCGTCGTCGGACTGGGGCCGAAAACGGACTCCCTTCCCAAACGGGCGAGCATTGGGGGCGTGACCCAAAAGTTGATGTATAATTTTGAAGTGCTTCGCCCAGTTGGGGAAGCACTCCACTATAATAGGAGGGTATTTGGCCTGGTTATTTACTGGCTGTTGTTCTTTCTGTGCAGGTGGTGGTGGCGGTGATGGTGGCGCTGACCTCGGCGCTGCTGCAATTTGCGCATAAGAGTCTGGCGCTGAAGATGGACCAGGTATGGGCTCCTGGTTTACAGGTTGGGAGTCTTGAATTGGGGCTAGAGTGGCGTAGGACGTATTGTCCCACTCTCTCTCTCCTTCCGGGTCTTCCTCACCGAAATCCTGCATGTCAGCGGTGCAGGCCGGAGAGGTGGTTGGAGACGGTGAGTTAGGCGGTCTGTTATGTCTTACCACAGGTTGTGGGGCTTGTATCTCAGGTGGTGTGGCAGAGGCAGAAGGCGATGCCGAATCAGATAGTGAGTCTGATCCGGCTCTCAGCCTTTTCTCCTCTTGCAGCTGGTCTTGTTCTATCTCAGGAGGTGTACGTCTCCGCGAGGCTAGGCTCCGGCGTGGTAATGGAGCCAGTTCTGCGCTCGGTGAAGACACAGCTTCACCTGCGCCGAGCGCGGCGCCGGGCGCCGGTATACTGCCTATTCGCCTCGGGAGTTGGCTGTAAGGTGGGAGCACTCTAGATCTCTCAGGAGCGAAGAGGTCTCGCTCCATG